TAAAAATTGCACAGGATTCCTCAATGGAATAGAAATTAAATGGAAATTAAAAAAGAGATTGAATATAGAAAAATAATGACTTAACCAGAATCCATAATGACCTTTGGTGTTTTGCTATAGTGGTGGAATCTACTCACCAGCACCCTTAAAATTTCTACATTTTTTGCATACCTGACTCTGGATTCTTGTTTCAGAATATAAACTGCTTTTTTTTTTTTTTTTTTGGCTGGATCAATTTCCTCCTACTTTCTCCATGTGATGAATTATACAACTTCTGACCCAAAACCCCTCTGTTTCATCTTTCCATATTCATTTGAGGAGATTGTTCCCTTCCAAAATTTCACAATTCTTTAAATATTAATTATTTAAAAATCCAATCAGCCTTGACTTAACTGCACTACCACCTTAAAAACAACAACCTGTAAAACATCTCCATGATACTGGAACCCTCATATACTTATAATGAAAAATAAAATGACACAGTGTTTTTGGAAATCAGACTAACAGTTCTCAAATGTTTTCAGCTAAAGTTACCATATAACCCAGTAATTCCACTACTAGGTATAAAAATTCAAGAAAAATGTTAACAGATGTCCACATAAAAACTTGTACATGAAGATTCATAGCAACATTATTCAAATAGTTAGAAAGTAGAAATGATCCCAAATACCCATCAATTGATGAATGTTAAATAAATGTGGTAGGTTTGTACAATGGAATATAATTTGACAACAGAAAGGAATGAAGTGCTGACTCAGGCTACGCCATGGATGAGCCTTAAAAAACATACTGAGGGAAAGAAGCTGATCACAAAAGCCCATATACTTGTAAACAGTAGTCTCCCCACAGTTGTGGCTTCCTTTTCTGCTTCAGTTACTGGTGATCACAAAGCAGGTGATCTTCCTCCTGGTGGATGACCTGTCCCCAGGTCAGTATTAGCCTAATGCTTTATCACAATGCCTCTGTAATTCACTGCACTGCATCTCATCATGTGGGCATTTTATTATCTCACATCATCACAACAAAGGTGAATGCAGTACAATAAAATCTTTTGAGAGGGTGAGTTAGAGAAAACACATTCACCTAACTTTTAGTACAGTATATTGTGACAACTGTTCTATTTTACTATTAGGTAATATTGCTAATCTCTTACTGTGTCTATTTTATGAATTGAACTTTATCATAGGTACGTGTGTATAGGAAAAAGCTTGATATATGTAAGTTTTGGTACTATGCATGGTTTCAGGTGTCCACTGAGGTTCTTGGAACATATTCTCCAGGGGACTACTGTAATTCCATCTATATAAATTCCATTTATATGTCCAGAATAGGCAAATCTGTAAGGATGGAAAGATGAGTGGTTGCCTAGGGCTGAGGTGAGTTGGGAGGAAATGGAGAGTGACCGCTAATGGGCTTGGGATTTCTTTTCGTGGCAATGAAAATGGACTCAAATTGATGCTGGTAGTGGTTGCACCACTCTGTGAATGTACTAAGTAACATGGTATACTTTAAATTGGTGAATTGTATGGTATGTAAATTATATATCAGCATAGATATATCGCATAGATGTACACATAAATACACATTTATTTGCTATTTCCATGCAAATTATCATTTTACCTACTAAAAATGAATAAAAATGAATTCATAAGCTACCCACCTTTTTCCTTATTGCCACTGTTCTTCTAGACCCCTTAGCAACAAACTATGAGGCTTTTTTCTCTCCATTTAATTCTTTTATGAAATCTGTCTTTAAGCATTGTTTACTCCTTTAGTAAGTACTTAGTTGGAATTTAATATTAAATGACAGGTGAGTAGCAATGCCAAGAAACTCTGTCTCCTAAATTGCATTTCCTATAAAATCAATCTTTAAAATTTAAATTCCACAACACAAAATAATTAAATAAAAGAGTATAATAGATGAATCTTAACTTAGGAGTATATTTCATGTAAGAAATAAAGAGCGAAGAAGGTAACCAGAAGTTATCATCAGAACATGTAGCGCTAAGGAGCTAAGACCAAAGTCGATAACTAATTATTCCAACAGTAACCACCAAAAAAGTCCAATAAAGGTTATCAAGAAATTTCACTCAAAATGGGATAAAAAGAACACATAGTGAAATAATCTTATAACCAAATATAAATTAAAGCAAATGAAGATCTGTTTAAAAATATTAAGACAAAATATTTGGAAAGTAAGGACAAAAATAACAAACACATTGCATATTTGCATTTAAAGCTTCTGTAACCAGGCAAGTCCAGTGTAAGGTGGTAGAGCTAGTGGAGAAGGTGATCAATGAGAGCTGGTGTGTTCCCTGTCTAAGAGGAGTCTAGTAGAATCTTTAAAAACAGTATGTGTTTGCCACAATTTTTCTCTTCCTAAGCTCTTTTTGAACCATTCACATTTTTTTATTGCACGTCGCTCACCATAATGTCTATGACAAATGTATATATATTCATTTTCAATGAAGTTTACTATCAGTACTTTTTTTTTCAGTAATTCTTAAGGTAGGTCGTAGAACTTAGTCACTGGGTTTTTTTTCCAAATGGTCCTCTTCCCATGTTTTGCTCTGCTCTGCCTGATGATGAGTGATTCCCTCCCTAAGAATCATTTCCTAGTTAGCCACAGATTAAAATAGTTTTAATTACCTTTATGTGTTTTTGTGGAGATACATGTTTGAGTTCCACTGATCTAAGGTAAAGCATCCATCTTTTTAAGAATTTGATTAATGCAATCACTCATCAGTAACCTCCATAATTTCAGGTTTTTGTTCTGTATGTCAGAAATCTCAGTCACCAGGTTAAAATCTATTCATTTCTGCCCTTCCTTGAAGGCTTGAGAGTCTGCCTCAGTTCTTACCACTGCGGTTTTCCCTGGCGCAGACTAGCCTGCAGTTTGCTAAATTTCTCTATGAAGAAGAAATGAAAATTATGGCAAACCGAGTTCAGGGCTTGACTCAATAATGCGCATCCCATTCTGCTGGCTCTTTGATAGTCTCTTTTCCCTTAGGGTATACACGCTGTGATCTCGTGCAACCCCACACCTCCCTGTTGTGCTCTATTGAAGTTACATGCTTATCCTGAGAACAGAAGCAAACGTGGCATTTAAAGGGACTCTGTACTTCAAACTGTATGTAGGGATGACAGTTCGAAAAGCAGTTACTTCTCAGAGTTTAATCACTAAAATCTATACACACTTTTTTTCCCCAGGTTTAGGATACTGAGAACTTCTTTGAGAATAGTATTATAATATAGATGAAAACTGTTCAGATTTGGAGTCAAAATTCCGCTGGCCTTGCTGTTTACTAGCTGCACATGCTTGAGCAAGCTACTTAATCTCCCCAGCTTGTTTCTTGGGGAAAAAAAAAAGTATATATATTAACACAGTACCTACCTTTGTATTCTCATAGTGATGTTAGTTGCATGAAAGGAGATGATGTATGCATCAGTGCATGGTATTTATCACTGTTATATGTGGTGAAAGTCGTGTTTCTTGATTAGACATGAAATCAGTACTTTATGTGCTGAAGTTATTTTTGAACCCATATAAATTGAAAGATTCTTATTTTAATTTGCAAGATTGATGAAGTTTCAAATCAATTCATTTGTAATGACATGAGACCTTGCAAATAAAAATGTTTTCGCAAGCAAGTGTGCAACATAGATAAACATCAGGTGTTTTTGTAATTAAGAAAATCTCGTTTTTACTAAGTTATATTACACATAGACTGCTAACAGTGCACAATCACTGTCTTATTTCTTTTCTAATAGTGCCTTTAGTATTCCACTGAAACATGGTCAGTGAATGCACAATATTCTTAGTTAACATTATAAGGGGCTCTGTATATTACAGCCTCTCCACTGTGTCTGCCGTTAGCTGGAAAAATGCTGGGAGTAACAGCAGCTACTACCAACAGGGAGCCATATTAATTATTTGAAATGTGCCTCATAAGAGGAATCAGCAGAGTTTATTACAAGTCGAATATTACTTGAAACGGGAAGGTTACCCTAACTGTTATCATAATCTATGTATCATTAACTTTCCTTGTTTAGGAAAAGAGATTAACAACCCTGTAAATTGCTATAGTAAATGTGTAAAATATAACTGCATATTCCCATTGTAGAAAGTCGGGGTCCTCCAGTTCTACCTAAACCTTCTTTATATAAAGTAGCTTTGGAAATTGAACTGACTGTGATTATGCTTTCTTGCCTTGAAATCCTAATTGCTTACTGAATCATCAGTATACGAACTATAGCTACTCTGAGCATAGAACATTCTTTTGTTTTTAAATTAGCAGTTTTTTCAGTCAGCATCTTGGTCTTCAAATCAACTTTAACATTAACTCATAAGACAGTAAGTGTATTACAAATATGTATGTGAACTGGCAGAATGCTTTGCAAGGAAAAGAGAATGAATCAATATATCAGCTTTTTATATTGTGGTTATTGTTTTTCCATCAAATACAATAAGCAGGTAGGAGTGGTTCTCTATTCAAATAATGGAAGCAAATCTTAAAAATAAAACATAAATTAACTAAGATTGTAAAGCTATCTAAATAAATGCCATCAAAGTGTTGTCTGAAAATGATGCCAATCTGCAGATTATCACTGATCTGCAATGAAATAAATGCAGAAATTGAGAGTGTTTAGAAACAGCAAATTGATAGAGTACTTAATGTCTGTTTAACAATAAAAAATGGAGACTTGCATTTTGAATATTTTTGTTTTTAGTATTTCCATTTCACTTTTCTCATAAGTCATTCTTATTGTATTTTCAAAAGTGTCATTCTGCAGTAAATTTGTAATTTAACCAAAAAATAATAAGTTTAAGAAGGGCTGATTTAATTGGTTGATGTTTGGATGACACCTAATGTTTCTGTTTGGATATATCTGTCTCCACTCTATAATAGCTATTAATTCAGTGTGAAAAAAGATAATGTAACATCATTAAAAAAAAAGTAAAAAGATGTATTCTTAACATTTCCTTCTTTGGTCCACAGGGCAGTCACACCACGGACAGATATCATACATCTCTCCACCAATTCACCTTGACTCTGAGCTAGAAAGACCCCCTGTTAGAGGTAAGTTCTTATTTTTATTTATTTAAAGAAAAAAAAACTCAGGCCATTCTTTGATGAAGGTAATAAATGAAATTAAAGGTAATTGTAAGTGTATATTTTATAATGCAGTGCTTGTTTTAAAAGAGGGGAAATGGTATTTAAGGAATCTGCTGACAGAAAGTTTTATGTATGTATAAACTAAAATGTGAAATACTGATCTGAGAATATGTTTGTAAACCATAATAAGAAATAGGGATCCATAGTGATTCAACTAGTGGAAGACTAGTAAAGACCAACCTAGATTTAGAGATGACCAGATAACAGTTACTTTTTTAGGTTTCTTCTTCATCAATCCTATCTTTGATAAATTAAGATGTGTTAATATAAATCATATTGACAGATTTATTTTCTTGCAACATGATATTTGATATTTTATTATTTTTTTGAAAGTCAGTAGAATTGTTAATATAAACATTTACTTTTTAAAATATATAAATTAAAATCATGTATTTTAAATTAATGCCACCTGTTTAAATATTTTTTAAAATAACTAGGCATGCAAAATAAAAGTTAAAGTAACATTTATCATTTCATAATATAAATATAGAATTTTCTTTCGATTTTTTAAAGAAATATTTATTAATGGTTTTCAAAATGTCTTGGAATGTTCAAAGTTGACATAATACAGATGTGTTTTTAACTTTATAAATACCAAATATCTTAAGGTCATTTTTTTCAGTTTTAAGTAAACACCGTACATTTTCTTATATTTTCAACAGTATTAATTACTTGATACAATAAAAGTCATTAAGTCTGACTTTTTGAGCTTGTTTTCTGTACACACTCTTTCTTCTGCCAAGAGACTCCCATGTTTCTTTTCTGCCCTGCAAGTCCCTACCAGTATGTCAAGGCTGTGCTTTGTCTTCGGTTTCTCTGTGAAGCCTTTCCTTTCTTCAAATCAACTTTAACACTAACTCATAAGACAGAGAGTGTATTACAAACATGGAGGAGCAAAGTGCCTTCCTCTGTTCTCCAAACATCTCTTGTACTTGCCTCAGTTATTATACCAAAGGCACTGTATCTCATTTTGCAGGATGAATGCTTTCCTTTCTCTTCTATAAGTTCCTGTAGGCAGAGAGTGTCATGATTGTTATGTCTCCCCCAGCTACTTGTCTGTGCTTAGCACATAGTAGGAACTCATATAGTGAATTCTAAGTGACTGAAAGTGAAGGTGACAAGCTAGATTCCAAAGGGTGTGTCCTCATTTTTCAGGGAAAAAAAGGGAGCAGGGATGGTAAGAGAGCCCCAGGAAGAGAAAGCAGAATGAGCCAAAACATGGATATGTAGAAGTTGTAATATTTTTTAGGGAAGTGTGCTGGGTGCAGAGTAAAATGAGAGCAGTCTAGAGAAAGACTGGGTGGAAAGACGTAATGGGGTTGATCATGAAGGATTCTTTATCACATGCCAAAGAGTTTGTATTTTACCCTTGAAAAAAAATAATCACGAAATACTTTTAATTAAAAAAGAAATTCCTAAGTCATTGAAGTGTTACATCATAGAATTATCAATTCCTGACAGGAGAAAAATATCTCTGAAGTCAGTGGAGATGAGAGATTAGCAGACAGAGGCAGTTTGAGTAGTGCAGGTGAAAGGTGACTGGGAATTAGGAGTAGGCAGGTGGCAGCGGCAGGGTCTGGGAAATATTCTGAAGAGGGGTAGCATTTGATGCAAGATGTGCAGGGAAAGGAGTACAAATGCCTCCAGGTGTTTATACTGATTAACTGCTTAGCTGCTTATGACACCATTCCTCAACATGAGGAATAGATGAATTTTAAGTTGATGCATTATTTTAGACACATTAATTCTTAGTAGAATGCTGTTCCTACCAAAGATGAAGGCCTATTTGTGTAAGTTGGTAAATTTAATATGATTCAGTTCTTCAGACAAAGTGGTTTAAAAAAGGAAATATTTATTAATGTTTATTTATTATGGTCTGAGTTGGTTGAGTTGTGAGTGTGCTGACTTGGCTATGACTGGATGTTTCGTAGTTAGCAAGCTAGTGGTTTGTGCCAGGGAAGGAAATTGCTCACATGTCCAGCAGTCACCTGATGTTGTCCGAGGTGATAGGCACGTGGTTCTCATCTTCCAGCTAGCAGAGGCCCTTTCCCATTGAGATGGGTTTCTAGCAAGAAACAGGCAAGTTCCAAAGTTCAGGTATATTTCAGGACTCTGCTAATGCCGTGTTTGCCATATCCCGTTGGCCAGAACAGGTCACATGGCCCACCCCAGACTTACCAGGGCACACACAGGCTCCAGTTCCTGATGGAGGAGCCACAGTCAGAAGAACAGACCATGGGTACAGAGAGAAAAGGAATGTGGGCCATTTCAAACTACCATAGCTGGGCAGATAAAGAGTAAAATAAATGTAGAATAAATAAGATAAAAATAAACTGATAAAATGAAAGGATTTATTATTTAAATGAATACATTTACTTATTTAAAATAAATTTAAACTTTGGAGTTCTAAACCTTTCTTATCTTTAGTTTCCTCTACTACACAGAAGAAAAATAAGAACTTCACAGTGTCTCTGTGAGGATTAGGGATAATATAGAATAGAGGGTGGCATCTGGTAGCTTCCAGTTAAAACGTGGCTATCCCTGTACTTTTGGGTTCACTGCTGTGGCACAGGGGAAGAAAGTGGGCTTTGGAGCCAGGCAAACCTGCATGACCATTGGCAGCTTCTGTCTTCACGTGTAAAACAAGGATAAAATGCCACCCTGGCAAGTTTACTAGGATAGCTGAGTGAAACATAGTCAAATGCCTGACAAATACTTGGCATAAAGTAGGACCTAACGAGTTAGTAGGTAAGGAGGCATTGTTAAAAGCTTTGCTTTAAATTGGCACCATCTTAGTAAAAGTAGAAGTAGTGATGATATTCACTGGTAAAGAATGAATTACTGGAATCAGTCATCTCTGTTTGAGATCTACCTCAAATTGCGCTGTGTGCCTTAAAATGACTGGCTTGATAACTTCTAGTTCTCATGTCATTCCTCTATGTACATGGACCCAGAGACCATGTTCACAGCTCTGTGATTAAGGCAGCTGCATTTATAGTCACTATCTCGTGTGCCACGGTCTTACAGTTTTCAAAAAAAGAACATTTCATTAAATAAATAAAGGGTTTGTATAAATCACCAAAATAGCATTGCAAGATATCTTATACTCTTTTTTCTTAAAAACTATCTAATAATTCATTTAAAAACAAAATGTTGGAAATGGGGTAGAGGTAGCATACAATATCATTACTTAGGAACCACAAAGTATTTCAACTTTCAACTACCACTGTTCATCTTCATTTACTATTTTTAATTATTCTGACACTGTTGTTGATATTTATATGCAGTCAAATTATAGAAGTGAACTATATATCTGTATCAATGTGTATGTATATATGTGTGTGTGTGTAGAGACATATATAGACATGTAAAAAGAGACAAGAGAGAGAAAATCTCCAATGTATATTATAAGTGTTTATTTGAATTTGTACAATAAGACAAACTATTTTTTAAAGTAATTTGGAATTCTGTCTCCAATAATTGCTTTTGTTCTTTTTTTTGGTGAGATTATATAGTAATGTCCTTTGAACTACCTGGAAACTAATATTAGCTAATTTTTTAGGTTTCCTTTTTCTATTTTTCTACTATAATTTTCATATGTATGTATAAAGATTATGAAAGATATGGCTAAGTATTCCTCTTCCCTCACTCACCTATGACTCTAGTCTCTTTTTTCCCTTCCTTTACCAATTTCCACTAGTCTACGTGCATGTCAATGTTTTGGAAATTAGTGTTTTATACATTTATTCCTTGTGTATTTTACAGACTTGACTGTATTTTTACAGGAAAATCATACCTAATTTTGTGATATTCATCATGCTCTAAATACAAAACAACATTTAAACATAATAATACAGTTTCCAGTATTAGCACAGAGAGCTTTTCAGTAAGAATTATGAATTATTTGATAAATGTTATCAGACTGCTTCACATATTTTGCCATTTCACTCTGTTCTCATCTAAACTATTTTGATGTACTTGGTACTTTTTTTAATAGTAATTGTGCTTTGAGTAGTTGAGGCAATGAACTAATTATTATCTTTGGAATTGTCTTTTCAAACGTTAGTCTGAAAATAATACACTTATTCCTAAAAATGTTCACATATTTTTATCTCATTTTTGTCTTATTACCTATGAATCATTTTGGTTTTAATCCACATGTCACTATCCTACCTTCTTTCAATTCCTTGATTTCTTTCACTTTTGCTATCAGTTTTTAGGGCAAAAATATTTCTGACATTAAGGCATGTGTTTCCTCTTTAGTAGTGTGCATTTTAATTGTGACCAACATTCTCTTAGTAACTGTATGGGAAATATAGTGGCAAGTCGCTAAATAGCTTAGAATAAGATGTTATAATGTAACTTCAAAATAGAGGCAATATATAATTTCAGTGGCATGTACCCACCAATGAGCAGACTTGAGAGATTCTATTGTTTAAATCTAATGTGATCATACATGGCATTTGGTCACATAATTTATGCCTGCGATGGCTTTTTACGCATTCTTCAATTTACAGATTTTATTACTGAATAAGGGTGTAAATTTCAGTGGTTTACTAGTGCATTAATGTCACAATACATTACAAGGTAATTAACCAGAGCTGCCACTATAAATAGAAAAATAGTCACAGCCCTCACTATAAACTACTTAATAAAAATAAGATCCTGAATCAGCATTCACCATTATAGTAATTTTTCTTGCTGTGCATCTCATTAATCAAGACTTTTAAAACAATAGCTTCATCTAGAAGCACTATTATTTTCAAACCTTTCATTATTAAAGCAAGTTTCTTATAATTTTGAAGTTAATTTAATGAGATTGGTTATACATTTATGCAAATAAGTTCTACATGCTTTTGAGACATACTTCCCCATTTTATATACCATAATGGGAAATGAAAGAT